TTTATAATCTCTATATATATGCTATTTCAATGTCAAGTGTTCTCGTCACGATATGGCTGAAATATTGCCGATGTGACGTTAAATAATAACTCACTCACTCACTCGTATGGGATCACTTTGAGATCTTGGATCCATTGCTCTGGATGGCATAGCGTTCCAGATGCATACACACACCGCTTGGCGATTATTTCCCTCGAATTAGCAGTCTTCAACGTGTATCCAATCAAAATCATTAAGCACACTGATAAACTTTGATGCCATGAATACATTGAATGCACAGAATTCGCTTATTAATGCCAATGTGTTGAAGAATAACTATTTTTAAAATGACGTGAGGATGTTCTTAAGTCAAAGTTTGGATGTCGGTAACGTATTTTATTGTGCAGCGACTGACTAGTAACTCATATTGATCTGCTTTAGTCAGTAAGCAGAAATGATGAATTATTATTAAATACAAAGGGGATACTAATTCCAGTTCATATATATTCCACAGATGTGTACTGCTGCTTGATTTGCAACTACAAAACTCCTGAACCAATCAAAATTCTTCACCATGAGCTGGACACACATGCTACCAAGGCACAGTTATCACTAGGAAAAAGGGTTTTGATGAAATATCTGGGGCGTTTGGATTCAGATCCGTTCACTTGCTGACATATCTGCAAAGATAAACCAAGGAGATAAATCAATAAATTACATGAAATAAAACCCTATATTGGTAACACCTACTTGGGTTGTCAGTCCAGATTTGAAGAGGTCATCATGCGACGATGTCGCATTGGCCACACGATATACACATGAATATTTGTTGAAGGCGAAGATCCTCCATTTCATTTTGCATCCTTTGTGATGAGAGAATCACGGTCAAGCATATCCTGCTTGACTGTATTGATGTTTCGATCACATGGGATAAGTATTTCAATGTCAAAACATTGAAAGATGTTTTTTTACAATGTCAATCATTTAATACTTGAATTTTTAAAGGAAATAGAATTATTAGATAAATTTTGAATAATATGTTTTGTAAATAGATAAAATGGTATTTTAAACATGGTAGTATGAATTTGCAACTCCTATTGTTAGTGGCTGTACCCTCAAAGGGGGTTAAATTATCGTAAAATTATTGTCCCCCCTGAGAGAGTACGTAAGTTCCAAAACTTTCAAACTTAAATTTAAGCTTACCAGATTTTTAATTGTAGTATATTTGTTCCTTTAAAATTCGGCTAAACTTTCCTACAATCGCCAGCGGCTGAAGGGATGGTGTAACTCTAACAAGGGTCCATGCAGGTAGCAAAGGCACTAAGTCCCCATGGTCCCAGGTATGGTGATTTACCTTCAGTTGTTGGCGATCTATAGCCTATAGCATTACATGCCGGTGGGATATAGTCGTGGTCTCGTCTGTCCGTCCGTAATCATTTTGTTTCCAGAGCATAACTCAAAGCTCGTTCGATATTTTTCAACAAAAATTGGTAGATATGTCAAACATAACCTAAGGTGGTTCTTTTTGCTATTTACAGATTAGCGTCATTTGTATTTTTCTCGGTTTCCATGGAAACGATTCGGACTTAGTCCCAAAAGGAGGGTTGGGTTTCGTTTCCGGAGCACAACTCAAAAACTTCCTAATATCTTTCAGTTAAACTTGGCAGATATGTGAGGCAGATCTTGAAGTGGTGCCTTTTGCTATTTGCAGATATTTGTCATTTATTTTTTTCCATGATTTCCACGGAAAGATTTGCTCTTAGTCTAAAATCTAGCTGGACTTTAAGTAACTGTCAGATGATTTGTTCTTTCAAAGATGTGGGGGCCGTGGGGATATGTCATCTTCTGATGACTCTTGTTATATTGTGTTGTCCCCTATAGTAAGAATGATTTAGATTTAATTACTAGTTTTACATGTATATCTGTGATATTCTAGTTGTTTTACTGTCTTTCGATGACAGGTTTTTACGTTATACATTTACTGATTTTCCTATTGATATCAACTGTTCTCGTCTAATTCAGAATGTCAGGAAGGCATGTTCAGAATGAAAATAGGGCTGACAATGCATTGAACTCTACCAAAGATTCTAGCTGTATTGATCTTGGACCGGTGCCTACAATTGCCAGTGACAGTACTTTAGATGATTTTGAGGAAGCTTTGGAATGCCATGCATATGGTGTACATAGTGGTGACAGTGAATCTTGTGATGATAACGGTGGTGAAAAGGGAGAACCTCTTCAAGGTAAGCTTGCAGCATGGGCATCGGAATTTCAGATTCCCCACACAGCTTTGTCTTCTTTGATGGATATCATGCGGACAATTTATTCTTCACTACCAAAGGATCTAGAAGCTTACTGAATACTAACATACATTATGATGTGAAATCTATTGCAGGTGGAGTTTATTACCATTTTGGAATTGCATCTAGCATTTCAGATATTTTGTCATGTTCAGGTTACTCGGCATATGGGCAGGCAAGTATCAGAATTCAGATCAATATTGATGGATTGCCATTATTCAAAAGCACAACCACTCAGTTATGGCCAATCTTGGGGAGACTTACACAACCATTAGTTAAAACCCCTTTCATTATTGGTATATTTTGTGGTACTCAAAAGCCTACTAAGGTCTCTGAGTATCTTCAAGATTTCATTGCTGAAATAAGCAGCATTGAGAAAGAGGGTTTCCTGACCAAACATAATGTCAACATGAAGCTTGAAATATCTTGCTTTATCTGTGATACCCTGTTAGAGCGTTTGTGAAGCAGGTGAAAGGCCACAGTGTGTACCATGGATGTGATAACTCTACTTAGGGGGGGTGGAATGGTAAAATGACATTTCCTGCCACAGACAGCCCTGTTAGAACTGATGTTGAGTTCGATGAAATGGCTGATGAAAATCATCACTTTGGTCGTTCTCCTCTCAGTGCTTTACATATTGGTATGGTCTCCCAATTCCCTCTTGATTATATGCATTTGGTGTGTTTGGGGGTGCTCAAAAGAATTATTTGGCTGTGGATGAAGGGTCCTCTTGAAAGTGGATGTCGGATAGGTTCAAGCCTGGTTAGTCAGATTTCCGATCATCTGATTTCCTTGCAAAGTTATTTGCCCAAAGAGTTTAATCGAAAAGGCCGGACACTTCGGGAAGTGGGCAGATGGAAGGCCACTGAATTTAGGCTCTTTCTCCTGTATACGGGACCTGTTCTCTTTGGAAAGCTCTCAGATGTTATGTACAAGAATTTCATGCTATTGTTTGTTGGAATATATTGCCTTGCAAGTCACGAATTCTGCCAATCTCATTGTGAATATGCTAGGGAAATCCTTTGTCTTTTTGTACAAGACTTTGGGAATTTGTATGGCAAAGATATGCTTGTTTACAATGTACACAACCTTTTTCATTTGGCCAAATATGTACAGATGTTTGGTCCATTAGACAACTTTTCCAGTTTTCCTTTTGAAAGTGTTTTGGGGCAGCTGAAGAAAATGGTACGCCAACCCAAGTTTCCTCTTCAGCAGGTCATTCGAAGATTATCGGAGAAAAAACTGCCTCTGTGTCAATTTCCAGATGGTGCCAGCAGGTACATGTTGAAAATGCTTCAATATGAGCAGTACAAAGAAATTCATTTTCCAGATTTGTGTTTCCTTAAGTCAGGGGGACAACTGTGTCAAGATCGGAGGAAAGTTTGCTCTTGTGAGAAATATAGTGTCTTCCTTTGCACAAACAGGAAGCATATTTGTCTTTTTTGAAGAATTTACATGCGCGGAAAATCTGTTTATTTATCCCCTTGATTCCTCCCAGTTGAATATTCATAAAGTGTCCAAGCTGTCTGGACATTTGGACTTTTTTACCAATCACATCTCTAGAATTTAAGTGTGTTCTTTTGCCCTTTCAACAGAAGTTTCTTGTTATTCCTCTTATGCATTCTTCTCTTGCGTTACTTTAAAACTGTGCATGCTTGTTTTTGCTGGTTGTTGCTCCATATGCAAGGTTAAGAAGAATATTACCGCCTCCGTGGTGTAGTGGTTAGAGCGTCCTCCCGGAGAGCGGAAGGTCGCGGGTTCGATCCCCGACCGCGTCATACCAAAAGACGTTAAAATATGGTACTTGTTGGTCCCTGCCTGGCGCTCGGCATTAATGGGTACAATAAGGACTGGTCAGTTCGGAGTCAGTATAATGTGTCTGAGTGGGGTATTCATGCTTCACTGCGGCATGGTATCTCAGTGGGCTAGCACTATAAAACCAGCTTCAGCCTGGGCTAGTACAAGCAGCCGCACTTACACATACACACGCATGCACGTCGTCATATGAGCGAAATATTCTCAAGCACGACGTTAAACGCAATTTCACCTCACCTTAGAAGAATATTAAATTCTGGGTCCACTTGCTCAGAGCTATCTTAGTTGCATTTCAATCACCATACAATTAATCAATTCGAATTGCACAAACCGATCACAACATCTTTGTTGGGTGGCAATTAGTGATCAAGTCACCTTATGACTGGCAATAAACATCATGACTGGGGTATTTTCTTTTAGGGTACGGTTTAATCACCATTTCTGGGTTCACACCTGATCGAGTTGGTTCTACTGTGATTGTTTTAATTAGGGTGAAGCACTTCACTTGGTACTGACTGATCATACCATACTTAGTAGTTTTATTCATTGATTCAATAGCTCTGTGGTTCAATTGAAGATGTTGAGTACTGACAATAATTGTAGCTTTAACAATGTTTAAGATACTTTTGAGCAAGTGCACCTGGGTCACTTTTTTTGCCTCATGTATACTGTAAATGTGGATGGATTTGCTCTATTAAAATTTCATTGCAGGAGCTGTCCTCACTTTTGAAATGGACTTTAATAGTTGTCTACTTTTGCAGTAATACTACAAAATCTAACATTATGGCTTGATCATGTTATTAATCATTGTAATATGAATTAAGTAAGCATTGCTGAAAGTCATCCATTTTCCTTTCTGTTGTTACTCAAGTCAAATGAAAGTAACTGTAATCTGAAGTTGTGGCATTGGAAATTTGCACATTATATATAATTTTAAATCTAAATATTGCTGTGCATACTATCAACAATGCTCAGGATATTCTTGATTCCAGTCAACATAGTAACATCCTAGGGCAATCAAATATGGTAGATCAATATATGATTGAACTAATATTCGGTTAGATCAGTTACACACATCATGTACAAACTTGTTATCTTTACGGATGACAATGAACTGGCTGTTGTGCCATCCAATTGGCTGGATGGCACAGGGTTTTGTCTTTGGCCTCCATTCAAGTCTACCACTAAGTTGTCAAAGGCCGTACAAATTCAACAATGTGCCTGTGACTCTTGGAAGGCTTACCCAATCTGTTTGCTGCCTGGTGGTGAATCTGGTAAGTTACATTTATCATACAATAATGCCAAAATATGAAACATGGGGAATTCTTAAATTGTGTATATTTACAAGCAACCATCTTAAATTTCTATCAGTTTTGAATTTAAGTTCATAATAAAATTGAGATTGATGTCATGAACAGTTTAATGTTGTTATGGTACCCATAATATAGACAATTATGAACGGGCCCGAGAAAAGCTTCGACTAGCGGAAGATACGTCGGACCTACAAACCGCAGACTCAGAAGAAGATGAAAATACAACTAGACATTCGAAAAGGAGAAAAAGGTACGTTACATGATCTCTTCATTTATCAAGATATCAATACCAATATATTAAAATTATGTTAATATGGTGAATGTTATTTCATAAACGTTTTTTCCCCAAGCAATATTCAACAGATGGAGATGAAAGGGATGATAGCAGTACTGCCAGTGATACAGCAGCTTCTACCCATCTCAACAGGCAAAATGAGAAGTGGACGTGGACAGTCCACACCCACAAGTCATATGCTGCCTGTGCCTCCAAACATAAGCCCAGCTCCATCTCAAATGCCAGTGGTTACACCAAGTACATCGTCAACCTTTGCTCGACAAGAAAACTTAAGGCCAAGCTCATCATCAACCCATACTTACAATCCAATCCATGGTATTGTCCAGTGTACACTGTTTACTTCGAATTAAGGGTCAGAAGCTTCTTTAATATGAAAAAAGTACACTGGTTGGTCATAAAATATTACTGAGCTTGTCATTATTCAACCATATGTAGTAGTACTGAACTAAGACCAAGTTCACATGTATTAGCTCAGCCACACAAGACACTTTGGGGATGTTTGGTGTTTGCATCATGTGATTGAACTGAAGCAACATATCATGCAAACTTGAATTTAGGTCATTCTCATTGAAACATGAGGTAATGGGTAATCACACTGTCTGTAATTTCATTACGAAACAAATACATTTGGGGTTATCCAAATCCCATTGCTATGTATACTATCCACTGTGTTGTCATGTTAATCCACCTTTGATGCCTGCTAGCTATAAATTATTGTTGAGAAATAGTACAAACAACTACTGGCTATATATTGAATTGTGTAACACATACACATTTGTGATACAACATACATTGTTTACTAAAGAAATACAGTTCACTTTACCACCATGTATAGTGTAATAAAGCACACTTTCGCCCTGAACTAGTATAACGTTAAAGCACGAGGACGCTTTACATCTGTGATTTACGTATACCATATTGGGCAAAATGAACGTCGCATTTCTACTACCAACATAAGTTTAGATCAATACATCCAGATGAAGCTGACTAGTCGGGCGAAATTCCACGATTGCATTGTAGGAATATAAACATTGCAGCCGTTGCCGTGTCGCTGAAAACTTGTGAGTCGAATTGAGATTTTAACCGTGGGAAAACATAAACGTAATGTTTCCACCATTGATGTTTGCTGCGTGAAGCAACTGCAAGCTAAGAAACAGGATGCAATGGAGTAGTTTATTGTAGGAGGCTGTACGAGGCGATGACAACTCACATGCATTGTGACGTCGCTTACGTTGTGACGTAATGCAAAATTGTTAGATTATGAGGGGGCAGACTAGAGTGGCGCAGTGACGCCAATACATTGTGACGTAATGCAAAAACTGCACATTATCGTGTGATAAAGTATTGTTGGCGCCTTTTATCTTTCACAAAGCATCTTAGAAATTATGACATTCTAAAACATTATGTATGCTTTCCATGAATATGCCTCTTTATCCTTCTGTTACTTGTATGCAGGAATGAACCTGCGTATTCTAACGACACTAGAACAGGTTCGTGCAGATGTCTCCTACCTTTCCCAGAAAATGAACAGGGTCTTGGCACGTCTGGATTCCATGGAAGGCATGGGCAAAAAACTTGACAATCAGTTGCCATCAGAAATATCACTGCCTGTTGAGGATTTGGAGGCTTTAAACCAAGTTGAGAAGTTGCTCCTAAATGAATCTGTGAAATCTCTGGTACGTGAAATCATTTTTGTAATATATGTTTTACGGCAAAGTATTTTGCACACTGTATTGATGGACTGCTACTTACACTGATATTCTATGATATGGAGTCAATGCATGCAGTAACCATTCTGCAGTCCTCTATATAGTACTCTTTTAATCTTGAGGTGAGTTTTTCAGAACTCTGTGACATGTGTTTTGTTTACAGGTGTCCCGGCTAGGACTCATGGGTGGTGAAACAGTTAAGGAAACAACCATCCGCGTCATGGTACATGCAATCTCGCATTAATTGGCCTTACAGCTTAACTGGATGGGCAAAGGAGGAAAAACGGCTTTCTCCAATCTACGTCTGAAAGATGTTGTGTTCAGTAAGTAAAATTTTACTCAAATTATATTTCTCCTTACAATACTAACAGGTATCATAATGCCAAATCACATTGATACATGTGTATTAAAGACTGAATGATAAAAACATCATTCGTTGCAATCAGTGATGGAGCTAGAAGCTGGATGATCAGGGATATTAAGGCTCTTTTGTTAACAAATAGTGGACATTGGTCTTGTAACAAATCCACTTTAAAACGAATGTGATTCATATCATGAATATTGAGCAGCAAATATGAATATTGGTCAACAAATGCCATAACAAACTGAGCTCCAGATAAGCTTTGGCCATGTGAAAAGATGTTGTCTTCAGTAAGTAAAATAAGATAAGTAAAAATTTGAAAATGCTGCCACATATATGCAAATGTGATTCATCTGTGGCCAAGGATTGTAACTATGTATGTGGTAGATACTGAAATATTAGCATAGCATAACAATATTGCTGGAGTCCTGCACCCTGTTATGGCTGAAGCAAGACAAAGGTATTGGGTTCATCGCCCCTTACAGTGAGTGCCCTTTTAGATTTGCATACATTCATTTTGATTTCAGCAAATGTGAAAGGCTCACACGTTGTTAGTTCTTGCACAAATGTGAAAGGCTCACACATTTTTAGTTCTGGCACAAGTGTGAAAGGCTCACACACTTTTTAGTTCATCACAAGTATGATGGGTTCATACTTTGATGTCCATGAATGGTGGGGTTTTTTCAGATATCCCAGTCGTTGACACCCATCCTAGAGGTACAGACACGCCCTGAAGAGAGATAACACAGCTGCCACTGCTGAACGGGTAATGTTGTAGATGGGGCCTTTGGTGTTTTCAAATCAAGATTCAGGTATGGTGTCACACCCTACAAGGTTACTGAATTAACAAAAGAGTAAAAGAATGTATTTAATAGTTGATTAATGGTAAAAAAATTATGTTATATTTATATTAAATTTATATTATGTTATGATTATTATATAATTATCATATAATCATACGATTTGATATATTTATATTTATCATCTAATGGAGGGTGTTATCGGTGCAATAAAGCAATCTGATAAACTTAGTATCCAAATCTGATAACTATGAAAATTACGTCTCAAAACTCCATACATGCCATGCGAATCCTAAAACGTTAACATTTCATAGATAACGTCATCGCGAGTTTACATTGCGTGGACGAGTTTGTAAACAAACATGGCTGCCCCCATTATCAAAATTGGTGATTCTGTAAGAATTGATGACAGAGGTTCTGGAGTCGTTACTGCAGTAATTGACTTAAGAAAACTTGAAACGGAGAACTTCGTTCAAATTGTAGGTACGGATTACGAGGCACGAGTGACAGGCTATCGTCCAAGAAAGGTACCAACCAAGGATTTCGATCTATCCATCACAAGAAAGAAGCGATTCCGTCGGGTATCAGAAACTGATACTGATGAGGTAATTACCCGCAATGAAAATAGAGACACTACCAACAAACACCTGCTTGAGTTTGTTGTTCTTTTTAGACAGTAAGATCTTATTTTAGGCATGAGTTACGTTTGCACTGCATTAGCGACTGGTCACAACCATATGCTGCCGTCATGAACGACCTTCACCTTGGTGTACCGCTAAGGGTAAGTGAGTTAATAATTAACGTCACATCGGCATTGTCTCAGCCATATCGTCACGAAAACAATTTTTTACAATATAAAGAGAAAACGTTTTGAAGATTAAAACCTGTCGACGATGGACAGTAAAAACACTAGAGAATCAAATATGAATAAAACTAGAGAGCAAAGCTAAAACATTTCAACAAGAAGACAAAGTCATCAATATCCCCCGCAATGGCAAAATACTCCTCATGATTATGTCTACGAGTTATGATTATGTCAAATATTTAAGGTGTGTATATAGAAAAGTGGAAGGAGAGTATTGAAAGGTTTTTAAAGTTCTGCTCCAGAAAGGAGCACTATCACCAATTTCAGGCTATGTCAAACTTGTTGCCATGGAAATGCCTAAAATATTTTATTCAGAATTCCAAAACTACCAAAAGGCACCAGTACACCACCAGATCTATCTATGTGCCAAGTTTGGTGAAGAAATATTGAACGGTTTTAGTGTTCTGTTCCGGAAAAGACAAATGTGCACGGACGCACGGACGGAGTCCATTTTAATACCCCCCGCAAAACGCGTTGTGGGGGATAATTAAAGAGGACAATACAGTATAAAACAGGGGCTATAGATCGCCAACAACTGAAGGTAGATAACCATACTTGGAACCATGGGGACTTACTGTAGTACCGCTAAGAAATTCAACTTGGATGACATTATAATTACATATTTCAGAACCATATCAAAGTATTGGTTCGGTAAAAAGTAGAAATGCGATTGTGGGATGTTTTCAAACTTTCGGAGGACAATGAATTATTTCGTTTTTAAGAAGAAAGACACTATTTGGAAATTAAGTGAGGTGAAATTGGGTTTAACGGGAGAAATATATGTGGGAAATGTAAAACAGGATGAATTTATTTGTGCACAGACAAAAGTTATGGAAAAGGCGGTCGTTGTTGGAAGCGTAACCAGAAAGCCTGTGGCAGGAAAGTTTCAGTTCGTCACAATTCCTGGTTTGAGAATATCAAAATCGAACTTGGCACAATTGTGTTATTAACATACTGTTGGGTGTGGAAACTTTCAAAGGATTTTGTACGGCGAGAAACGGAAATCTCCTCGGGTAGTACCACTGTGGACTGGTACCAATTCTGTCGGGGGGTTTGCGTGGTGATTGCTGATGCGGACAGTTGCACCATAGGGGTGAGTCGGTAGGATTGTAGACATTGACGAGTCCGAATTCGGAAAGTAACACAATTGAACAGAAATGTAAACGTGTGGAGGGTCAGTGAGTATGAGTATGGCGGCATCGAGAGGGACAGTAAGGAGTGTTTGTTGCTTGTGTTGGGAAACGGTTTTCGGAACCCTCATCTCGGTCATACTGAAACACATTAAGCCAGGAACCACAATTATAAGCGATTGTTGGAAGGCTTTAAACGTGTCTGAAAGAGGAAGACTTTGTCTATCTGACAGTCAACCACTCACTGCATTTCAAAAGCCCGGACACAGGTTGCCCACACAAATACTACCGAGTCGTCCTGAGTGCACTCGTTTTTGTTGCTCAAATCAGGAACAAGGAAATAACTGTACTCGTCATATTTCGAGGAACTCTGTGTCAGGAGAAAGTATTTATCTGACAGGGACGATGGGTTTTCATCCTTTATTGATCTAATCACACGTGTGTACAACCCCCACGGAAAACACGAGGAACTGATACATTATCGGCGGGCACTTGTCACAGTGCAGTGCACCCAGGACAAAAGCTCAGATGGTTTTGATATTTATAGAAGGAAAAGTGCCAACACTAACCCCAAGACATAAAACGGACCCTAAATTATATGAGCTAAGGCAAGGTACTAACCTGCTCCAAAGCCGCAGTATTCCGAAAAAGATAAACAGAAGTGGTTGCTAGGGAACCACTAGAGCATGTTCGTGAGCATCAACAAATGATGCAAATATCCGGTGATGTTTCACACAGCAGTACTGATGGTGACAGTGATGAAGATAACCATCCACACTCAATTCAAGTCAAGTTCGAAGAATCTCATTCCCAGCTAGAGAACGTATTAAATGTGCCATTTCCCCAATTCATGTCATATCTGCCACATAACGTGAAATATTTGCGATAGCACTGAAGTAACTTTTCTATCTTATGTTAACAGTTGTTACTTAACATTTCAGGTCCCTTAACAACCATATGAAAAAAAACCTGTTCCTGGTGTTTAAATCCAATTTGCTATCACTCTTCGTGGTTTGCAAATTGTGCTTATTTTCATGCAGGGCCACAATGTATATATCTGTGGTAGTCTTGTGACTGTGCAGGTATAGTCAGCCAATACACAAACAATTGCTTCTTGGCAATTTACCCATAGCTTGTGCTGTTGTCTTTACGCAGCAAAGGCTCTGAGGAGTTATTCCATTATGAACATGTACAACATAAGCAAATCAACATTTCATAAAACTCCAGAGAAGCTACAGTATATGGCCATAAGTGAGTCATCACAGTTGCTGCCGACGTTACATTAAAATAATATACGTTTACTTAATCGCTTTTTACAGGTAAGTGAAGCAACGACATCGACATTTTTCACACATATTTTAGGGCATTTAAGGGAGATAAATGTGTATACTCTTCATAACTGAGGAAGAAATATCATATTTCCTGTCGTCTGCAAGCCATGGCTGCAAAACGTAAACAACTGACCCCTGACCAGAAAAAGACCATTATAAATCTTCATTTAGATAGTAAATCTCAAAGATATGTTGCTGACATACTTGGAATATCCCAGTCAGGTGTGAGTAAATTCTCAAACGTTTCCTTTGATCGGAATGATATAGAAAACAGACCCCGAAAAGGTTGTACACCGATGCACGGCGTCCGTGCAGATCGTACAATTATTCGCTGTGTGAGGGCTAATAGAAGGCTTCCCATGAGTGAACTTTTAAGTTATAATTAATAGATCACTGCCGCACAAATTTGTCTTCAAGGTCTGTTGGGAGAAGATTACGCTTCCATGGGTTTACAAAAAGTAAAGTTATGAGGACCCCCACCGTCAGTCCCGTCAACCGGAAAAAGCGTGTGGCGTGGTGTAAACAGAAACCCAGGTGGAATGTTGATGAAAATTGGAAAATGTGATATTTAGTGATGAAACACAGGTGGTTATTGAGCAGTAGAAGTGCGTCAGTGTTTGGCGTAAACCTAACGAAATTTGGCTTTGGATCAGCGAGGCGCCCGTAAAATATCAATGATGGGTATTTGTTTTGTTGGGTTTTTTGGGTGTGTGGTTTTGTTTTGTTTTGTTGGGGTTTTTTTTTGTTTTTTTGGGGAAGGGTTGAAACAAGAGGCCAAAGGTGGTTCTAGTGGGGACTGGATTTTCAGGGTGGCAATGTGCACACTTTAAAGACAGACTCGCTGGAAAGAGGGAAATCAGATTCGTGGTATGACATGGCCCTTTCAGAACATTGTAAATTCGACTTCACGCGAAATATGCAACAGTAACTCCAGGGATGATCTGATACGTGTCATCAACCGTTTGTGGACTAACCTCCCTCATCATTACATACGGAGCTTATACAGGTCTATTCTCAACAGACTACGACATGTCATTACAGCCAAGGGTCATATAACAAAAATACCGCAAGATTCCAGGTGAGCAAGCAAACTTAAATCAGTTTATTCGTCAAAAACCTTTTTCGTACGTCCCCGCTGGTCATAACGTTGGCAGCCATTTTGATGACTCACTAATATACTGTAGTGAAATCAATGATCGGAACCAGCCGGTCATAAAAAAGCACCAGTCTTTGATGAGTTGGCACAACACTGATTCTTAGGTCGATCAGAAAAGGATGTATTCTTCGATTCTGCAGGCTTCAGATTCGACAGTCTCAAGTATTTTTCTCAACTCGTCACTTCTTTTCAAGCTTTCGCAAAATGTAACACTGCGTGGCTCGTCCGCCATTTCAAACTGTTGCGTAACTGTCAACTTAGAAAATAAGTGACCCGTGAAGGTCCCGGTTAGAATATTGATCTTCAGCAATCCATGCTTGTCGTAAGAGGCGACTAACGGGATCGGATGGTCATTCTCGGTGACTTGGTTGACGCATGTAATCAATTCCCCATTGCGCAGATCGATGCCCATGCTGTTGATCACCGGATTGTCTTGTCCAGACACGATTAATTACAGACCGCCGCCATATAGCTGGAATATTGCTGAGTGCGAACTCATATTCACTTTAGAAAATAAGTAGGTCCATTATTCCATCATAGTTTTGTCGTGGGCTTCGGAGCTTTGTCTTTGGGACAGTAAGTAGTGTTTGTTGCTTGTGTTGGGAAACGGGATTCGGAAACCCTAATAGCGGTCATACTGAAACACATTAAGCCAGGAACCACAATTATAAGCGATTGTTGGAAGGCTTCATACGTGTCTGAAAGAGGAAGACTTTGTCTATCTGACAGTCAACCACTCACTGCATTTCAAAAACCCGGACACAGGTTGCCCACACAAATACTATCGAGTCGTCCTGAGTGCACTCGTTTTTGTTGCTCAAATCAGGAACAAGGAAATAACTGTACTCGTCATATTTCGAGGAATTCTGTATCAGGAGAAAGTATTTATCTGACAAGGACGATGGGTTTTCATCCTTTATTGATCTAATCACACGTGTGTACAACCCCCACGGAAAACACGAGGAACTGATACATTATCGGCGGGCACTTGTCACAGTGCAGTGCACCCAGGACAACAGCTCAGATGGTTTTGATATTTATAGAAGAAGTGCCAACACTAACCCCAAGACATAAAACGGACCCTAAATTATGAGCTAAGGCGGTAAGGTACTAACTTTGCTCCAAAGCCGCAGTATTCCGAAAAAGATAAACAGAAGTGGTAGCTA